GAATAATCCACTTTTCATATAATCGGAGATCGAATAATTAACGTTTTACTGTATTTAAAAAATTCTCCCACGAAAAATGGGCATCTAATATTTACTAATGAAATAAGATATGAACCAATAAAAAAGTTTATTTCTAATATACGTATCATAACAATCGAAAATAGTGAACAAGTGTAAAATATAAAGATGATCAGTACTAATCACTGTCAATGTTACCACGAACTTGAAATAAAATTTACCACGTTGAATGCCACACGATTTCATAGAGCAAAATACACAACATGGAAAAAATGTAACATTAAATCATTAGATAGCATTATCTATAATATAGAAATGTTTTCAAGTAATCATCGTTTAACTGAGTGAATTATAATAATTCGATTTGGTTGGCCGTCCCCGGTGACCTCCGTGGCATTCAACGTGTTAATACAGAAAAAACCAAGAATTATGCTTGATTATCATGGACGTTATCGAAAGTATGTTTTTTAATGAATCTGTTGCAGACTGAAATTGAAGCTGAGACTGAATGCACGGACAGCATCCTCTGTTCGAATAACAATAACAACACTACGAACAAGAACAACAATGTATCAAGTATCAAAAAGGGTGGCACTAACGTTGTAAACAACGAGGGTCACGATGGCATGGAGATGGAATGCGGTGGTTGCGGGGAAAGTGTTCGCGAACGCACCGTCCTCTGCGTAGGGGGTCGTACCTGGCATTCCAGGTGCCTGAAGTGTTGCGCTTGTGCAAGACCTTTGCACGACCAGCACTCTTGTTTCCTCCGAGGGATGCGGCTTTACTGCAGACACGACTATGCGATGTAAGTACAACTCGTTTCTATTCCTATAATATATACTATTGGGAATTCATTTGCTGTCTGGTGAGACAACACAGGGGCAAGAGGGGTCTCTCGCTAAGGATTTTGTTTATAGTTTTGATTGATTACGTGTAATCGTATTGACCAATAGGAAACATGTATCAAAAATGAGGTGAGAAATGATGAAAGCTGGCCAATGAGATTCGCGTTCCTCAACCTCGCCATTAATACATTGTTAACCGACCACGAGTTAACTGGTGTTTTCATGGCCAAACGTTGTTAACCGGTTACGAGTCTAAAGTTTCATTTCAATTCATTATGTATAAATAAAGTATATTGAAGTTTATTTAGATTGTTTCACTTTAATATTTAACCCCTTGCCATACAGTGACGAGTGAGACTCCTGATGAAGATTTCTAGACTAATTTAACAACAATCAATGTTGTTCATTATCCACGGATCAAAACGAACAACTATTTTGCTATTATCAATTTATTATCTCCAAATGAAATTTACACTTCAAGTAGAGAGGAAAATTTTAATGCATTTCTTCTAAATTGTTTTCTTCTAAATTAATTGTGACAGTAAAATGTTACACGAGCTTAGTAGCGAAAGTAGTTAGTACGCCAAGGGGTTAATTACGGAGTAATAACCGGTAGCATATGATAATTACCGTCGGTAAAATTGTCAGTAAATAATGTGTTAAATGATCTCTCAACCATATAAACCTAGCTATTGATGGACATTAACACGTCGATTACTTTAATCTCACCAGGTAAAGCTTTTCTCAGAAAACTTTTACTACCTGACTAATATTAAAGGTCACCATATAATGTAGCTTTATTTAATGTATTTGTCTAACGATCTTAGGTGTAAATGTGCGCAGGGGCAAGGGGAGACGTTCACACGCGACGCTCGGTAATTATGGGGGTTCGGTTTCGGCGTGTCCTTGTTATTCGTCGAGGTAGAGCCTGCGGTCAGTTCCCCTAATCCCGGCACAATTTTAATTCTAAGGTCACCGCTATAAACATAAGATCGGTGCAATACCTCATTTAGTTAATGATAACTACCTACATAAAACCAACAGGTGAAATACAAGGTAAGTAAACCAAAAAGAGTGGCGCTAGAACGGCGAGTATCTGTAGTAATGTGAGAAATAACGTCATAAACGGAGATTAAAAATAAATGGTTACTACACAAGTTTTTATGAAAGGTATCTATTGTAAAATTCTGTAACACACAACAGAGAAACGCAGATTAGTAATTTTGGTGAGTCACTAGCGTTTAATCCGTAATGGTACCTTTGAACACTGATCCTTCGGAAGCTGTCCGTGGAATACTTTGAAGCTACCTGCGCGACAGGGTGTTCGTTGTATCAGCTATGCTGGTGTCAGCATACTCTGCGAGGTTGGTATATAAGTCAAACAAATGATGGTCCTTTCCAGGAGCACAGGTGGTAGCCAAAACATCTTAAGCTTGGCTATACACGCTGGTCACGTAGTACCTAGTGAAGCGTCTCCTTTGACGAGACAGGACATTATTTAATTCATCGGTTAATCTTTATGAGTCGTAGAAAGAATTAGATAGGAGTCGTAAAAAGTACTAAGAAGTACTGAAAAGTGAGAAAAGGTCTTAAAAAGGTGGTAAAAAGCAATAAAAAGTAGTAGTGACTAAGAAGTAAAGTAGCAAGTAGATGGTATGCCTATAATTGTTCTCTTCTCTCAATGAATTATTAATGACAAGGTAATTATACCGATCACGGTTGTGAAATAAATCACAAGGTAAAGTGTTAATCTTTTGCATTCGAAGTACTAATCACAGGTATTGCCAAAGTTTGGAGTATCTCACGCACACACTCACGCACATCAACAATATACTGTGCTGCAGATCAAACTGTTAGTTAAACTTTAGTTACATGTGATTTCATGCTTCATTGATTTCAGTATTATATTTAGTAGTTGATTTGACCGATCAAATAAAAAAATCTACTACGAATGGCGAGCAAGTTCGAGTGCAAAAGATTAAGAACACTTCCTCCTTTACTTCGTATAATTTCATAACTGTGTCGTTCAGTCTTCGGAACGTCAGCCCTAACATAATTCATAATTAACCCTTTGAGAACGAATGATGACATTTTGACGAGATCAAACATTCATATTTGGAATATTAAGTTGCATACAAACGATTTAATTCTTCAAATAGCAAAGGATCAGTAGGCTATTTCTTTTTTCTTCATTATTTAAGCATCTGGTAACTACCGGACGGCTCAAATTAAATCATTTCAGAATATTTATTTTGCAGATATTTAAATAATGAAGGCGTTTTTGCGAAAGCTTGTCAATTAATTTCGTGTATTTGTACAAATACAAGAGTAGGACACACTTCGAATCTCAAGAAACGTACTGTTCTAATTTCGATAAAAAAACGGGAAATAAGTCACTCTAATTATTCGATAGTTTTAGTGTTAATCCCTTGCTTTACAATAACGTGTCAGACTCGCGGTGAAGATTTTAAACAAATCTCAACAAACATACATATTACCGAACTCTCGTGAATTCAAATGAAACATTATTCTTTTGTTATCAATTCTTGTACTGTAGGCCAAACACAAACATAAAATATACCTGGACTTTCTTTTCATTTTCAACGAATTATTAATAATAAAGTAGTTGCGTCGATCATAGTCGAGAAATAAAACGTAAGACAATTTCAGTGATAAGACAGAATCGTCAAAACAGAGATCCCTTCTAAAAACAGAATATTTCACAGCTCGACTACTTATCGACTCGTTTGATCACCGAGCGCGCAGCCGAATCTTAAAAGTTACATTTATGATGCGCGCTCGCCTTGTTACTCCGTATCGGTTTAATGTTTACAACTTAAACGATTACAAAGCGATTCCGAAAGGATTGTGGTTTTTGATTGAGAACACGAATATACAGGTATGCGGGTGCCGAGTCACGAGTAAAAAAGACTGTCAGTGTTCCCGAGGAACCAAGGAATTCGCCTCGTAAGCCAGCTCTCGGGACCAGCTGTGGTTTTCTCTCTTTCACCTACCCTCGCGCGTCCCCGCGTCGCTGGGTCGCCGCGTCGCGTCGGTGCTTTTCAATCGGGCAGAGGACGGGTGTCTTTTAAATTAATAAATATTCGCCGACGCTATTCCCCGCCCCCTCCTCCTACGACGGTCGTTTCCCCCGCGTCTTTTTGACTAGAATGAAAAAAAGGGAATGGCCGAGGGAAGAAAACGACGCGAGCCGGACCAGAAATCGCTCTATTAGCGGACTCAGCGACGAAATTCCGGTTCTCTTAATTCAGTACGGCCGAAAGCTGCGACAGTGAATCGGCCGCCGCCTTAATCACGACCTTATCGTTTCTGCCTTAATGGCACTTAAATGCGAATGCCTACGCCTTCCGTAAAAAGGTCCAGATTCCAATCGCCAGGGGTGAGCTTCGCCCATCCTCGCCCGCCCCGGATGATTTCAATGATTTCCTGAATACGTTTCGGGAATAATAATGTCGGAACTCGGCGTGTGTGTTTGTGCTTTTTTCTTTACAACTGTTTCCTGTTTGGGTTTTTAGTAGTTTATTTTTGGATCGTGAATGGGTTGATTTTTTTATTGAATGAATTCAATTGGAAATAAACCTTGCTCTGTGATTTACTTCTCAATTATGATCGATGCGATTATTTTGCCATTAACAATTTCTTCAAAAAATAGAAAAATTCTGAACACGTTATACGTCAATGTTTGCTTTAAAGTATAATTATTTATAACAGAAGAATAATATTTCATTTGAATTGAAAAGGATCGAGTAATATTCATCCTTGTTGAATTCTCTTTAAAATCATCATCGCGAGTCTGACACGTTGTTATAAGGAAAAGGGTTAAGGGGAGACACAGGTATGTAAGTTGTTGGGTATTAACTATAGAACAATGGAAAATGTAATAGGTTTTTTTAACAAATAATATTCTTATTATATTTGTTTTTCATAAACGAATTATTTTTGTACCTTATAGCTTTGAGATTTTGTAAATGAATCAAGAAGTGTTATTTTGTAGCTTATAAATTATTTTTCTTCATTTATTCTTTTATATAGGTATTATAATGTCTTTGAGGAAAAATATATAAAGTTAGCTATTATGTAATCACTCGAAATTAGCAGAAACTATAAATAACTAAAATTAAAGGAAATGCATTATAAATAGAATAAAAAAATGTTGTCGAAGAATTGTTGGAAAATTTAATTAAATCGATCGGTCATTTCTAAATACTAAAAAATTAACTAAATTACTTTTCACTGTCTACAATTAGGCATAATTAAAAAAATATAGTTTCTAGTAACTTACGATTTTTATATGCCCTTCACACATTCACTTAGTTTCCTTTTAACGAATATTGTCAATGTATAATTATATGTTCTATGAAAATATTTAACTACATATAAAAGACAATTTTTAAAGAAAAGCCTTGCTATGATTTCAAGTACACTCATTGTATATTACATATATAACAGGACACAGTTTCACCGGCAACACTATGTCTGTCAATTGAAAAGCGCCGTTACAAAAGTTCGTACCGTCCGATTGGCAAAACAGTCTTCTTTTTTCTCTATACGGACCCGTGATCGCGAGAAAAAGTCAGTTGAGATGTCCTTTATTCGTAGCCGGCATCGGTGCTGCTTCAACGTCACAACGTGACTCGCAGCTCGCGCGCGAGCATACATGGTACACGTATGCTCGGTGACGTGAATAGCTGGCTGTACGTGAGGTCCAAAGAAAAAAGCGAAAAAGTAGAAAAAGGAGAAGAAGAAGAAGAAGAAGAAGAAGAAGACGAAGGTAGAATCGAAAGAGGAGACTACATCGAAGACATTAATCACCCACTGGCGAACCACTAACGCTCCCACGTGACGGCCACGTGACTCGTATAGACAAAGTTTTAGCGGAACGAGTATACTTACTGGTGTGAGAGTACCTTTAGATTTCCTCCTTTTTTGTTAGGAAAAATATGACAGCAGGGAAATCTTATCATATTTACCATATATTTGTCACATATTTATTATATAAGCATGATAAGGATAATAAGATTTGCTGCTGTCATGTTTCTTTTAACAATGAGATGGAAAACTAAACTTACATCAGTAAGGATACTCGTTTCGCAAAAAATTTGTTTCTTCGAGTTACGTGGTGTATTACTTACATAAAGGGCGATTGTAATTGTAGGACTCAGTTGCCAGTAAAAGAATGATGCACGTGATAAAATCTTTGATGGAAATTGTAGGTCTTAATACTTCATTAACATTATATAATGATTGTAATGCATGAAAAAAAAACATGAAAAACATCGCGTGAACTGTGTTTTTAAACGAAATTATTATATACCTTATGAAATAATCATAATTATAACAATTACACGAAATTCAATGAATCAAAGTTGACTGTTACTAAAGAATTAAAACCACCAGGTGAAGTAAAATTTGATAAGTATTAAGAGCTCAGTCGACTAATCACAATGATTCATAAACTATTTTCATACAATACTGAATTACACAATTAACCAGTTAATTGCGTTTAACGAGTATACACGCCATTTTAAAGCTTGAAACGATACTAATTCTTTCAACAATAAATTCTTTGTTTTTCAGATAAGCATATAATTCTTTGTTTTGCTTTGGTTTTCCATTAAAATATAACCTAAGTGCATTCATCCTGAGTTTGACGGATATACACTTCATTTTTTGACTTTATTGAGAACGAAACGAGAGATTTTTCAAACTAAATTTCACAGTTAACGCGCTAACCATAACACCAAAAACTCCAATGAAATATTCCAACAGTTCACTAACATCGTACAACATATTCTTCCTGAATGAATTATTATAAATTATTCCTACAATTCTCAAAGTCTTCGCTATACAATAAGCCGAATTTTTATTTCCGTAATAATTCTATTCCAAGTCGATCGAAAGAAGTGTTCTAATTCATTTCTCAGTCGGGTGGAATCGGTACCCCCGGCAAAAACTATACTTCAACGATAAAATGCGGTGAACGTAGTAATTTATATAGTCGTTCATTTATATCTCTCATGATATCGAAGATCGTGATCGTAATCTGTCTGCGGAGCGCGAGAATCGAATACGGTCGGGACCGGGGGGACCATGAATTCTACCGTGCTGAGGTCGAATAGCGCCTGACTTAATCCCCCGTTGACTTATAGGGCCCGCCTGTGTGGAAGAACAAATGAATAAATTAGGGCGGGGTCGTTTGGTAGCCGATGTACGGCCCTGAAGATTTATAGATACCCAATACCAGTTTCCTCTCCTCCTGGCTGGTTACACAGGGCTTCCGTTGTCTACTCTTTTCTCTTTCGATCATCCGACGTAAACACGCGAGGAGGTTAGGGGTGGCGCCACTATTTATGCTAATGACACCTCGCCCAAAGTCCACGAGATATTTCGCCTGATATTTAACGAAGCCGCGTCATCTTTTGCACTTTCCCCAGTCACGGTGAAACATAAGGTGTTCGGCGATGGGTCGCAAAACATTCTTAACGACTGCATTCGATTTTTATGGATTAATTCTCGTTGGGACTTCTTTGCATATTTTTTTAGTGATTTCTTGATTTGGAACGGTTTATTGAAATTAACCCATCGCAATAGAGAGGTGACTGGAAGAACCACTTAATTTGATATGGCAACGTTATAAAGTTTTGTAATATGTGGTTGATGCAAACATTTTGCCGGTTTTTTATGGAAAGTAAAAAAAGAGAGTGCTCAACTGTTCGCTGGATAAAATAAAACTAATTGTAAGTAAAAACGAAGGAAGATTGTCCTTTATGTGAACCGCTTGCTGGTCAAAGCGATTAACTCCAACTTTCGAATTGTTCAATATTTTAACATTACAGCGTTTCATTGGCTCTTAACTTTTTATATTTAAAAGCAAATTTTATTAGGATTGGGTTTGGTGCCACGAAATAATAAAAAGTCTTTTGGCCATGTCAAAATTGGAATGATAATAACAATTACTTCAAGGATATACTATTTTATGCGTTTTACATGTTCGTTAGATTGAAGCTATACCTCTAATAATAAATTAAAATACATTCTACAATGATTGTTTGATTTTGCATTTAAAGAGAGATGTTTAAAATCACTATTTAACTATAGTGTCTCATATATGTATAATAGTTTGAAAACAGATGTTATTTGTTTCAAAAGAAAAATATTTGTTTGTTTACGAGTACAAAAAACGACAAAATCTTTGTGTTAAATATATGTAATTTATTAAATACATTTAATATTTCGTTATATATTTAATAGTTGATAGCCTAACAGTAGGCTACCGACGACTAGAAATGTCAGAGGCAACAATGAAATTTAGAAACACGTCTCGATGTCTGAGAGACTCCGTGCTTCTAGGCGTGCCCAGTGCACAATCACCATAACCAATAATGCCCGAAAATATCTTCGATGCGACGATGACTATGCAATTCGTCGTCAGACTAATCCTTCCGTAGCTTACCATATTTTTCCATACAATAAACCATTGGTCGATCGAGCATTCTTACTTTTCATAACTTATTCTTTCTCTTTACTATTTTTCTTTCTGCACAAAATGGTATCCCCATTTTTTGTTACCAAACTTTTACTTGCATTATAACTATTCAACTTTCATTGGATTTGTAATTTTTGATTATCAATGGTACATGCTTGCAATAATAAATATTGCATTAATTATAAGTATGTTTTTGTATTTAACATTTTCTGTTATGCTGCTTACGTTGAATTTTGACTTGTTTCAATATTACTGATTGAAATAGGCAGTGTAATAGCATAGAATATTAAAGGAATTGCTTAAAAATTTTAACAGAAGTATACGCATTACAAAAGACATTGTTTAAAAATATTGAGCATAATTGTTTAATGATTTAAAATCTGATTTCAATTCAATTTCAGTCGGTATAGAACTGAAATAAACATAATATTTAATTTCTCAACAACAGCATCACTGACAATTTAAACTATTCGCGATTTTTGCTGCTTTATAAATGGCATTAGTATAATTAACACTAAAACTACCAGGCGAGTCAAAATGACTTGTTCCTAATTCTTTCATTTGGCAATGGTTAAAAAGATAACAGGTGTTTCTCTGAGAAATTATTAAAGAAATTGATTTAGCAATACGCAAACTGAATTATAAATCAATTAGCCTCGATAAATGCACTTTTGAAGTTTTTATAGAGGTATTTCTAAAAGTTTTCAAAATATTCTTCAGAATCGCTTGATACCTAGATGCAACTCTTTTACGTGCACGACACCAACATTTTTAATGATTCGTAAGCTTTCAGGCATATATAATATTTAACACTAGAACTACCAGGTTCGTTAAATTGACCTACCCCAGAATTTTTATTATTTAAATTATGAAGTCATTTCTGCTAGAGATTTTAAATTAAATTTATGTATTTGTACAGACACTGGACTATGAGAAACTTCGAATCTCATGGAACGTACTGTTATAATTTTGATAAAAAAATGGAAATAAGTCGCTCTAATTGTTCGGTAGTTTCAGTGTTAATCGGTCAGAAGAGAAGTCTCACTTAGAAAACGCTAATAACACCAGGAGCTCGAACAGATCGTAGTGTCTTCATAAAAATGCAATTTAAACGTTCTTGCAGGCCATTTTTTATCTAATCCATTAATAGACGGTGTCCGATGACGCCAACTAATTAGCAGCTAGTCGTCGCGCGTCGCTTATATATTCGATCCGGAGGTCGACAGTCCCGAGCGTGTCGCCCATTTCCTGGTCGTCGGTATAAACTCAAAGGGTTCGAGTCATTTGTAGGGCGAGGGGAAGCCGCGGGACTGAGATGTCGAGATAATCTCGACGTAATCTGCCGATCGAATCGCAAGAGGTCGAACCGATCCTTAACCGTAGCTCGTGCATCTGACGCGTTCCACTCCGAGGGACATCAAGTGGCGGAGTAGTATGTTAATGAGGACAGGGCCATCGGATTCTCATGCACGGAGGTCCTGAATGAACCTGCAGCCCCGACCAAAATAGCTCCTTGTCCCTTTCAATTGTTGCCTCCTTGCTGGCTAAAAAAGAAATCTAGAACCGCGATCCGACCGCGAGACATGGAAACATTTTCAATGAATTACCTCCACATAATTAACTTTTCTAATCACGAATCCAAAGATATTTTAGAAAGCACCTTATTATAAACCATTTCGAAACAAAAATCTTTTATAATTTGTCGTTATGGCTGTTCAACCTGATGAGTGTGGCACGTTCTTCGCAGTCAATTATTTGAAAACAAGAAAATGAATTAAAGTGACAGTGGAAAACTAAAATCTATTTTCTGGGCACCCGATTGTTTTACTTGATATTTTGTTTATGCAAGGATAACATTTCGTATTCTTTAGTATCAGTATGAGATTTGTTTAATTAAATTATATTGTACAGCATTATATAATGTAATTATATATAATTGTATAATATTCACTTCGTGGCGAGTTCCTATATGTTCAATAATTGTAATAATAACAATGCAATGTTTGCAAGAATGATGTCTAAGCAATAAGTTGGAGTTGCAATAAAAGTATTTCTTAGTGGCTCAATTATGCCACTTAGAATAACTGATGGTGGAATACCTTCCAAACTAATAATCTTTTAGTATGGAAAGGTTAATATTCGTCTTTATTATTAAAAGTTAATACTAAAATTTAAAGCTGCAATGGAAGGGTTAATTACATTATATTACATTACATCACAGGTCTACTAATTTCTGTTTGCAGAACCTTTGGCGCAAAGTGTGCGAAATGTGGCCGAAGCGTGGGTGCCGGTGACTGGGTGAGAAGGGCCAGAGAAAGGGTTTATCACTTGGCCTGTTTCGCTTGTGACGCTTGTTCTCGTCAATTGTCTACGGGAGAACAATTCGCCTTGCTGGACGCCAGGCTGCTCTGTAAGGCTCACTATCTTGATGTTGTCGAAGGAAATAATACTTCGTCTTCGGAAGACTGTGACTCCGAACATGGCGGTAAAGGCAGTAAGACAAAGAGGGTTAGAACGACCTTCACGGAGGAACAGCTCTCCGTGTTGCAAGCGAACTTCCAATTGGACAGTAACCCAGATGGCCAGGACCTCGAGAGGATAGCTCACGTAACGGGGCTCAGTAAAAGGGTTACGCAAGTTTGGTTCCAGAATTCGAGGGCCAGACAGAAAAAACACAGCGGCAAGATTAAGACACAAAGTGAGTACGTTTTTGCTTCTATTAACCTGTTACATGCGAAATTTAGCTTGAAAAATCTCTTACTGTACGCGCAATAGAATCGAATAATAAAGTGTATACTCGTCAAATTCAGGCCAAATGCATTTATGATATGTTCCGACGAAAAACTAAAGCGAAACGAAATAGAATTGCGTGTTTGTCTAAAAAAAAATAAATAGTCCATTGTTGAAATGTTAGTGCCATTCAGAATTTTAAGATAGCGTGTATACTCGCCAAACGTAGTTAACTGGTTAATTCATTAGTGAATATGGCATTTAATTGTAAGGAATAGAAGCAGAAGTGCCGTTGATCTAGGTTTTGGTCATTAAAATTTGTTCTCAGACAAACAGAACGAGAAAATTGAAATTTACAAAAATTGGGTAACATGGAACAATTAAATATAAAAACATCACGAAACGAGAAAATAAATTATTATACTTTCAAACAAAATGGACTGGTGTATATTAAAATTCCTACTAAATATAAGTAATTGTATAAAATCTAAAACATATCGTATTGAAAATTTTAACGAGGATTAATATAATATGTATATGTACGTTCCATATTTGTTGACACATTTTATATTATAATATTTTATATTATTTCTGAATTTGCAAATTGCTTGATCGATAAAATAAATATTTTCTCAGTCTGTGTTAACCCCTTGCCATATGATTTGTTTCACAATTGTGCTCGGTAAAAATATTTTGACGTTAATTATTTATTAGAAGAAAAGAGAATTTAATACTTTAAGCAGAACTGCTCGTTACATTCACTTCAGACGTTAACGACTGATCATAGAAAAGGAATATTTAATTTATATTAAAAAATAAATAACATTTCGATTCATCAAATTTAATTTAAAGTCTTCACCACGAGTCTGACACGATATCATAGGGCAGAAGGTTAAATTCGCCTGACAGCTAAACGAATTATTTCTTTGCTTGTATTGCGCAGTGCACCACTCACCTCCAATGCAGCATCATCCAGGAGACCTGTACTCTTCTGGAGTGAGCATGGTGGGCGCCTATTTGGGTGGATATCAGGGTGGCAGTGCTGGCAGTGAGAGTCCCGGCAGTCCGATGACACCTCTCACCCCTTTGACACCACTTACCCCATCCACGCCCAACCATCTTCAAGCCCAATTCTGTCACCAGGTTGGGTAACTCTGATGAAGGATTACAAGATAGTTTCACGCGAAACTAGTGATAACGTCTGGTAATTTATTAGACACTCTTCATGGACCCACGGTCGATCGTTTTGAGAAAGTTTTGCGGAAGTATTAGACATAAGGGACTTTTTCACGTGAAATTTATTGAGAAAACATTGAACGACGAAAGTGTAAGTGTTGCCATAGAACGTCCGCATTCCGAAGTTTTAGCAAACCTTGTATGTATGACCGAAAAATCGAAAGTGATGCGATCCAGAAAGTAGAAATGGATATCTCATTTCTACAGCGAAAGTTTATTTTTATCACAGAAACTTTTTTAGAAACTCTTTATAAGTTCTAGGATTTCGAAGGTGAACCGTCGAAGCGTCAATGTTAACTAACTGAAATCCTCTTTCTTAAATGTAAATACTGAAAACAAGAAAAAATAACAAAAAACAAAACGTTGACCGCAGTGGAAGATATAAAAGTGATAATATGAATAGGATAGGATTTCATGGTGAGGATTATAGATTCTAGATAGATGAAATCATAATTATTTATTTAACTTCAGTTACAGCAGTTCGTAGTTTGTGTTTACAGACAATTTCTCATGACAAACGTGCTAACTATGCAGTGACGAATGTGCAATGAAAGAATTGAAGTTTTTTCTTGAAACGATTATCCATTCTGTAATGTACATATATATATTATAAAACAGTTGTATTGGTTATTTATTTGAACAACGTGTCTCGATTCAGGAGATTTTTCTCGATGCTTCCATCTTACGATCATTTTACGTTGCATCGATTGTATAGAATTCGAAAATTTTTCATTCATCATTTGAATCGTTAATCATTAATTCATTAGATATATTGCCAGGAAAACATTGATTTATTCGTGTTTTACAAACTCTTTCAAACCCTGAATAATTGCAATATATCATTACCAACAATTTGATTTTACAAATGAACACTTGTACATAAGCATACCCCGTAGCTTTTGTATATAAATCCAAATTTGTGCATGAGAACTTGATATTGCGCTTGTGTTATACACTCATTACCGCAATATTGTAAAACGTACTGTTATCAATAAAAGTGTCTTTTACTGTTAACATTTCCTTTTTTATTGAATCGAAAAATCATCCAACCCTTCTGTACACTTTTCCCTATAACTAACACTTTGATGGTCATATTTTTATCGCAAAATGTATCACGTAGATACTAATGACAGTTTCTGAAAATATTTCATTTTGAAAACTAATAAAATGATTTCTTTATAATATTATTATAAAATATAATTATAAAATATAATCAGGGGATTATAATTATAAAATTATAATGATTGAAATGTATATTGCAATATTTATTTTATTTATTTGTCAACAAACATGATACCGACTGTCAAAGTGTTAATACTAATGCGAAAATAAATGTGCTTCTGAGCAGAAAATGAAAAGGTTACTCAAGATTGCCAGAAAAGGAAACGGTACAGGTATGTGCAACATTTTATATTGTATATACTTAGTTTACAATATTTACATCACAATACATGTATATTAAATTATGGTTCTTTTACGGATACACAATTACCTAGACACTATAAAAGATACTTTCATTCGGAGCATTGCTTTCGGATGCACACTGAGATCTCCCAAGCTCGACATTCTAGAGACATCAGACGTTAGGAACTCCCGGTGACATCGGGTGACTCTGATTCGCGCTAATCTTAAACGATCTTACGTGTTTCATTAAAACAACTGCCTGATTAGATCAGGAAAAATCTTCGGAACAATGAAAAGTAAGAAATTCTAATTCCTGGAAAGAAGAAAAATTACATTTGTCTCTTATTCGTCACACTTGAAACTTTCACGTTTCGTTCAACAAAATTACGAATTTATTTTAAAGTCGACCTTTTACAGAATCCGTGGAAAATCGAAAATCAAGCGCTAATATTTACAGAGCATACGTGCACTTCGCAGACTTATAATTAAATACTGATGATACAATTAATGGGAAAGTATTCTCGATAGCTATGTGCATGTAACTTCGAAAAATATACAATTTCAATTTTTTCAAGAAAGGAAGCTTTGAATAGAACAAGTTTGTTCGAAATTTCCAACTTATTTTTCATATAGAATTAACTCTTTACCCTTTGCATCAGCAGTTACGAGACACCCTGGCAAAGTAATATGACATTAATGATGTTTCGATTATAGAATACAAATGTGTTGAGTGTAATATATTAAAAATTGTAATGTTTTGTTATTAATCCTTTGCGGATGAGACTGTCTTAAACTTCTAACATTTCTTTTCATAAAAAGCTGAATGATGCATCGAAGTTTTGAATAGTAAAATCGAAAAGAACCACATGTCAGTGTCTCGTTGGTTGTATAATGAAATTATTCATTTGCAGTTTTCAATTTCAGTTATCAAGGCTCGAAGTCGCCATTGCGGCGATATTCGACCGCAAAGAGTTAAAGCTGTGTTCCAATTTTAAGCAGAATAAAACTATTAATGAAGGAATTTACCTTTTGTATCGTCAATGTTTCTTTAGCTGCTCTGTAAAACTGTGAATTTCCATGAACGTTCGTAGTTTAATTAATATTTAAGAAGAATTAACACAAGTTTACGATTAAAGACAAATAGTTAACGATGCATTAACACATGTACATACAACTCACTTCCACCATGGCGGACGTGTTCACGCTTAACATGGAATGTTAAATTGTATATCACTTATTTATAATAAGCTTGACACCAAGTGCGAGGGAGCTGTGCCGCCATCCAGTCTTAAAAATTGGCGCCATCTACGATTTTGCTGATATCGTTATCGATTAACATTTTGGGCGGATTTCGATTTAAATAATACAAAACATTTCGGTACACTTCCGCAATTTCCTAACGTATCGTCGGAAAATATGAAATACGTAGCTGAAAAAAATTGGAAAATTAATTCTTTAAAGTGTTTCACTAACTTTTTCATCAACCATTAATATCGGTCAAAACTTTTATTATTTGTTCAATCGTGCGACAAATAAATTCTGTTTATTTGATTTTAACGTCGAACGTATATTTGATGGCAGATTTTTAATATAGTAATATACTTTACATTTTACTAAAATCAATTCAAATTTTGTAACGTGAATAATTACAGGATCAAAATAAGTTTTCCTGAAGTCTTTAAAAAATATGAAAGACTGTTTTATTGGTCTTCCAAAATTATTTGACTAGACATTAATTAAATATTATAACGAGAATATTTTTCAAAGTAATTACAATATTGTACAGTTGCCTCAATAAGCAAGAGTATATACATTGTCCGATGATTATTACTATTATTACGAAAAATTTGAAAACGGCAATTTCTTAATAATATTTTAATGGACGCTTTGATTTTTGTAGGCGATAGTAAATCCCTTTAAAATTTTCAAAATTTCATTGAGCTTATAATTATTCACATTGTTGTATTATATCAGACACGTAGATTTTATAAAATCACACAATTCTCAACCAGAAGACTCTTTAAAGAATTAATCAACCAGACAAGTACAATTGCAGATCACATTATACTAAAATGATTTGCGAAAATTAACGTTTCAGAAAAGTGGCATATCCTAAAGAGACTTTGGGACTTGAATCGCATTGTTTCACTGCGAGCATTTTCATTTTCGGTCGTGAATCAACAGCGCTGTTGAAAAATCAAACATTAAGTGTACCAAAGAAAACGTCCATTCGATTCAAGAACTTTGGCCAGAAGCCAGCACGATTCAAGATTAAATTACGACACTGACGTTGAGGCTATTGATTATCGTTGATAAATTAAATTAAACAGAGGGGACTATCGCTTTCACCGAATCGTGGACTTATGTTATAATAAACTTTAACTCGATAATGAGAATATTTACAATACTGCTAATTCAGCAGCGGAGATTAGACTTCGTTCGGCATCGACAACATCATCGAATCCTGCGAGAGTTCGTCCATCGATTGTTCCGAGCCTGAAGACAGAGTTGACGGGGTTGCGATTGAAAGTAGACCTTTTCAAAGCAAAAGTTTTGTTTCCATTTTGTATACTATCGCCTGTCTGACTGTGAGTTAATTGTTTTAGGGACACAATTTTCGTGGGATATTGTTTACAATTTCTGAGATACGAACATTTTTCTAAATATATTAGTTATTAACATATTCTTAAAATGTATATAGAGATATATTATGAAAATCGGTTAGGATTATTTTCAAGAAATATCGAAAAGAAGTGTATCTATTAGAACTGAAGACGGATAAAATTAAAGTTTGAGTACTTCTCGAAAGTGATAGGTGACTTAAAAGGGTCAATAATTTATGATTAAATAATATCATTCGAATTTAAACTAGATAATGTTAATAAAATTATTATAAACCAGTGATCTTTTATAAGATAAATATAAGTAATAGCAATATTTACTTCCGTATTTTTAATATTAATTCATTTTGTACGTAATTGGCATCATCTAAGAATTTTTTCAAATTTTAATACTCGAAAAAAGAAAATTTGTTGCATATTATTATAATAAGCATAGGTATATACAGATCGTTACAATACAAAGTAACAATTTCATTAGCCCAAATCATATACATAACGAATAACGTTAATACTTTATTAATTAAATAGTCCATGTTAAATGATTGAATTATTTACAAAAGTTTCTGTAGGTATTCCATTTAAAGTTACAAATTAAAGTTGTTTGTTTTCTAGAGTAGTTTCTCGACAAATCCGTTAAACATATTTTCTTTGAAAAACAGATTTACCTATATTTTTAATTTATTGCTCAAAACTCCTTATTGAGAAAGTTTAAAAAGTTTGATACATCCTGACGCCAGAAGAAAGTCAAGAGGTTAAAAATTCTCTTACCGTGATTATGATAAATCGAAGGTGTAGGACTCTTGCACGTAGCTGGGCTGAGCTGCGGTTGTTGCTGGCCATGATGGTGTTGCTGCTGATGTTGAAAGGAATAAGTCAGATGTAAATTGATATGCCGACTGAAATCGCCCGTAGCGGCAGTGGAATTCGGAGGTGATTGATGAACTGTAACAGTAAATGATGCTTCTTAACCCTAGAGCATTGTAATATCTAATACTTCTAGGTGTAACTGTCATTTACCCTGTCGAAAGATCGATTGTTTCATACTTAGATTGTTCTCAAATATGCTTTCACGATATTCGATACATTCATTCGACTTTAAACAACCGAAATTTCTATTTAAAATAAATAAACTGTATATAAAAAATATAGTATACAATATACAATATGTTTCACGTAACTATCGCCATGATTTGTTAGGCACTTCCGATAATCTAACGAAAAAAACGTTTCCAATAAAACTTAATTAGCTTTAAATAGACTACAAACTGCAATACAAAAAATTTCCAAAAAGTTTTCCTATCGTTAAGAAATTAAATTCTTATTTTACCGAATAAAAAACTCATACTCTAAAACTCATTGGAAAATATAAAGAATTCGAGGGAATTTACTATGTTCTCGAATAAAAGAATTGTTTCTTTTCGTTACACCCTACGTATGGTAATTAATAGGAATTGCCGTGAGTTGAGTATGTAATCTGAAAGAAACAAACGCAAGAAGTACCATGTTGCCCTTTCATTTTGCCTGTGTGCAGATGCTTCTTCTGCCTCGCCCTAGAATTCTGGAACCAAACCTGCGTAACTCTTTTGCTGAGTCCAGTCACATGCGCTATCCTCTCCAGATCTTGGCCATCGGGGTTGCTGTCCAATTGGAAGTTCGCTTGCAGAACCGAAAGCTGCTCCTCGGTGAAGGTGGTCCTCACCCTCTTCGCCTTGTTACCGTTCTTGTGGCCACTTTCGGAGTCACCGCCTTCTGCGAAAGTAGTAATTAGAGACGCCCCACCTTCCTTTCCATTTGTCTCTACATCCCACCGTTCTCTATCCTATCCTCCTTTGAATCTCTAAATTTACACCATTTCACAATAGAAAGTAGTCCAGTCATCGACTATAAAGCTTATTCTATTTTTACGCGAATTATGAATAAATAATATTATGCATCTTGACAGGTGCAATATGTTAAATGTTCTTCAAAATGATTATATGGGAAAATAAAACACAATATGATAATGTAATTTTTTTTGTATAAATATCATTTTGGTAAACTGTCGAGCATGATTTTAACTATCTACTGTAAAATCTTCGGAGTAACCTTTCTATAGATAAGCTAACGTTTTATAAGATAGTTTAATACACAAAATAGCTTTAACACATTCGCGACTATATATCTTTCCTAAAGTCTATAGTTGAATACCACAAAGTATGTTGTTCAAATGTCTGTGAATACAAAAAATATATGGTAAAGCTATGTTTTTAATTTTCGGTTACAGATTTTGAAATGACGTAGAATTAAGTGATCAGAATTCTTATAAAAAATATAAAATGACGTAGAGTTATGTTACTGGTATTCTTTTGGAAAAATTAAAAATGAGGTAGAAGTACGTTATTGGTATTCAGCTGAGAAATATAAAAAGATATAGGATTATGGTCCCGAATGTGTTAACCCCTTGTCCTATAATGTCGTGTTTGACTAGTGGTGAAGATTTCAAATAGAATTTAACCAATATAAATATTACTCAATACGTTTGATTTCAAATGAAATATTATTCCTTTGTTATCAATGATTATACTTTAAAGCCAACGTTAACACAAAATATGTTTAGAATTTTTCTCGTATTTTTAATAAATTAATAAGAATATAGTTAGACTGATCATAGTTCAGAGAGAAATCATAACGCAATGGATAAATATTGCAATGTATCCGTATAACCTCACCATCGGAAGAAGTATTATTTCCTTCGACGACGTCGAGATAGTGTGCCTTACAGAGCAATCTGGCATCCAAGAGAGCGAACTGTTCACCTGTAGAGAGTTGACGGGAACAGGCATCACAAGCAAAACAGGCTAGGTGATATACCCTTTCCCTAGCTCTCCTTACCCAATCTCCAGCTCCTACGCTACGTCCACATTTTGCACACTTAGCGCCGAATGTTCTGTAAACAAAATATAGATGATACTTCAGCAATCTTATAAATCTCTTACATTAAATCGTTTATTATTGCACTGATTTTAAATGAAATATTAAGTTACATTCAAGGTTTTGTTAACTTTTATACATATTTTGATACTACTTCTTTACGTTTTCGTTGCTTCGCGACGTGTACCACTATTCGTTGCCACATGTTTCATAAAAAATATTTCCTTAGAAATATTGCGCGTGTATTCCAAATATCAAAAATGGTAGACATGACATCTGAACGTGTTAAACCTTTTATTCAATGTTTGGTATTGAATCTATAGTCTAGAAATATATTTACCAATTAAATATTGAAATAAAATAGTTAATATATGCAATCGATTGAAATTGTCATAGAAATAAAAATATTATCTCTAAGTTAATGAACTTCAGCAACCAAAATTTAGACTGCTGAAAATAAATAATTTTATCGAAAATCAAAAAAAAGTTCCGAACTTTTAATCACTTGTACGGACAAGATACTTATGTGTTGCGTGTTATTCGTTTTCGAAAACTTTTATTCATTTTCAAACAAACACTTTTCGAATTTCTAACTTCCCAGGAAAATTTCTTCGAACACAACAGGTTAAAGTACATAAACGTAAATCTGAAAATTAATTTGATGTCAGGTAGGTGAGGAATCCTGCAACAAGGAAATTATAATTCTCAACTTTATTCTCAACTTTCAATTAGTTTGTTTTCTGCAAAAATTTACAGAGATCTCATAGTTTTTCCACGCTGAGCTGCTGAATAACGACGCGGTTTCATGCAGGGAAATCAGAAGCGATCGTAAAGAATTCGCACGCACGCAGCACGCGGTCACCTGCGGCAATGGCGCCCATAAATTCCACGATGGAAGCTCACCGAAGGCTTTAGCTTCCAAGACGTCTCACTCCCTAACGAATGTATCCGGCAAAGTGCCGACGATTCTTTTGCCTCTGTGTGCGCTCGTATTCAGGTGTCGATAATCCAAGCACCGTCTTTGGTGCTTCTCCGTGCCGGAAAACTCTCAGATTTCGCAATGGAATTTATTTCTATGGGCTATTAGCAGTTGCAGTTAAGTAGAGAATTATTGCATGCATAGTAGAGATATTAATTACTCATATGTTTTAATTACTCTCATATTTATGTCTCGCATGGAGATGTGATTTGAGCGAATGTTTATTCGAACACGATGGGCATTTTGGAGTTCCCAAAAATATGATTTGAAACTTTTTTTTGTATTATCAGAAACAATAAAAATATTTGCGACGATTAATACTAAAACTACCGAGCAGTTAAATAGACTTTTTGAACTTCCTCTGTAGAAACTCCAAAACTGCATCTATTGAGAATTCAGAATTCAGCTTGTGTATTTCTAAATAAATTTCTTTAATAATTCTCAGAGAAATATCTGTTATCTTTTCAATAATTGCAGGAAGAAGAAATCAGGAATGGGTTGTTTTGATCCGTCTGGTAGTTTCAGTATTAAGATATGTTTGAAGTATAAATAAGCAGTTAGACCTTTCATGTTGCTAATAGCTTGGAAAATTAAAGTAAGGCTAAAATTTAATGGAAAGGAAACATTAGATTCATATAGATTGTTGAAATCTATAATCTCTCATAACTTATGAAATCTTATTGATACAGGTATAGCAACCATGAAAACCATAAACTTTAATCCCATACCTCTTATATAGGGGATCAGCGATTCTGTGTCTTCAGCGCCCACGTTAAGATGTTAGGCAGGGATTAGAATTTTAAGCGAGTTGATGTCAATTGTGAAATTTTTTTTACCCCAAGAAAACTTGCAACGTGCATCGAAAACAACGGAATATAATCCCTATAGGTAGCTGCTTATGCAGGTATTTACAAGTCCATTGTCTTCGCGTTAATGAAGCTAAAACCGACTATCTGAACACTTTAATAAATAGTATTATAATAATATTTATTTAGGATGTAATTATTTTAAATTCATATTTTAAACTATAATTAAATATATATACGTTTGTGTTATTTAATTCTTTATAAACGTTTTATCTCCATTTCTTGGTTAGCTTCAAAATATTATAGTTCGATTAATATTTTCAACTTTTTCTATTACCTATAGAAATAAACCGACTTATAATTATAAGGATTATAAATGTAGAAATACAAAATTATGAATATCTTCTTTATGTCACCCAAATTTCACTTTGAATAGCAAAGGCAAATTTTTTCTGTACGGTGAGTGTGCTCATCACAAAACAAAAACTTGCCATATTTTCACAACGAGTATGTTCATCATAAATTTAAAAATTGCCATCTTCTCGTGACAAATATACTCGTCAGAAAATAATAAATTGCTATCTTTAATGGCGAGTACACTCCTCACAACACAAAAAACTGCCATCTTTTTATGCTCGTACTCAGCAAAAACACTTGAAAGCTATAAACCTGTTAACTATGGAATTTAGTTTGAAAAATGTCTCGTTTAGCGCGCAATAAAATCAAAAAATGAAGTGTATATTCGTCAAACGCAGAACGAATGCACTTAGGGTATATTTCAATGAAAAACCAAAGGAAAACAAAGAAGAATTACATGTTTAACTGAAAAATAAAGAATTCATCGTTGAAAGAATTAGTATAATTTCAAGCTTTAACCCTTTTAGTGCTGAACAACGATATTGCGTTATTAGCAACATTTGCGAATAGTGCCAACGACGACATATTGTTGCGTATGCGATGACGCTTTATTATTCGCATCGTGAGAGAACTTTATCTTAAAATTAATTTATAAAACATTCTAAATGGTTGAATTCCTCTTCAGAAACCCTATGTGAGATGTTGCACAAACTGGAAAAATGGTTTATGAGTTTAACTTTTCGTTATATTTCGCGATGATTGATACCGAGACTGTGTATACGCTAGAGCGATAAAATAAAAATTTGACACGTGGAATTTCCTACAAATAATTGTATAGTTACTTTTTAAGTACTTTTATAACAAATAATTGAAAATACAATATTTATCCTCACGTGCCCTACATCAAACTAAGACCAAACCGTGATTCTTCTTAATTGCAAACACCGTTTGCACAAGAAAACTAATTTTTCCACTTTTCCTGATAACTTTGAATAAATATTATTAATACAATTTTCAACAAATATTGTAATACAACTGGCATTAATTCATTCTCCCTTTACTTAGTAATGTGATCCTTTTCGAATTTTGTAGATAACTTTCTTACATTTTTTAACGATTTTTCTTCGAGCCGTACTAAGTTACATCAAATTGGTTCGGTATCGTTCACTTAGGTACAATTCTTTCGATGGACAACAAAGGGGTTAAGATGACCTGTGTGCTCGTAAAACGCAGTTAACTGTTTAAGGAAGCAGTTGCCGCGGAAACGCGACAAGACGAATCGTAGCAATTCATCGATGATCGGCAGTGTCATGGATCTAGTAGCTACTAGCCCGCATCTACTTTCACCGTGTGGAATGGGGTGGTGGGGCCACCGGGGTAGTCGCGTGGCCCCATAAGATATCCCCGCGACTCGCCGACGCGCGACGGGCGCGGTAGGACGGGGAGGGTCCGCGAACACAGACCGTATAAACAGCTAGCTCGATCGTCGCCGGAGGAACCGGACGAGGAATCGGGATGCACTTTCCGTGTTCATGAATATGATAATGGGCTAATGGCCACTAGTCGTTGTTTAATTACCAGCCGCTGCGCACACAACCGACCACACCGGACTCGGCCGTGGAGTCACCGTCTCTCCGCTTCAGCTTGTCGTTGCCGGAGGATGCTGCTCCGGGTGCTCCTCTCGGTGCACCCGTAACACCCACCTTTCCAGCCATTCATCTGACCGTACGTGCGTGTGTCGTGTACCATGCTCGTGTCCTACCGCTACACGGCTACTGTTTACACCGTAAAGGCGTAGCTCACTGAGATTTTTAGACGAAATAAGCAGTGAGTACGTCGGACCCTTTTGAGCCAATGCGAATAGAAATACTTTAATTCCCTCGAAAGAACAATGTTGAAAGTTGATTTTTGAGTTGATTAGTCGACCATAGTTTTTTAATGGACGTTATTACTCTACGTGGTTTAAGGAATACAATATGAATAGTTGATGAATAAATAAATGAATAATTGTTTATCTTGGATATGATAGGAAAGTTATGAAAAATAAACGTGAATTTCGGAATATTGTCAGCAGTAAAACTCGTTGTTACTGAAAATTAGGATGGGAGAAATAAATCAGTTTTAAGGAACGTTGTGCGTATCTCGACAGAAAATATTGGGTTTTTCTAGTGAAAAACTTATGGAGTGCAAAGGGTTAAGTATTTGGAAACACTATAGTGTTTTGATTTTCGAAAGTATAGTTTAATTGGATTCTTACATATTATCTCATATTAACTTCTTATTGAGACAATGGTGAAGCTTATAACGCTATTCTATAGAACAAATAAGTATATAAAAATCGTAGAATATATTCAATTGGAGGAAGGCTATCGAAGGAAGAAATAGTAGAAGCATTGGATGGCTTTAAAGGTTGAGAAACATTCGCTAGTGGAGATCACTTTCCAAGACGAGAGAGCCAAGTTTCTCTTCCCTAAACTTTCCTCCCTTCCCCTACAGATACTTTCTATTATAATACGATCCTCTGTATCCTTCATTATTCCTTTTGTTGGCCATTCTTTTCCTTCGTGTCTCTTAAACATCTACTTTTCAACATTTACATTTGGGACATCCATTTTTAATTTATTATTGAAAATTATTCATGAATGATTTGCTATGTAAAAAAGTGTTTTAAACTAAAGTTGTAGGGGATCGAAATCAAATAACTTTGACATTAATCATTTTTTGTAAGAGCAACTCCTATGTAATTTTCCATAAAAAATATTAATAGAGTATTCTCCTTTGCAGAGGTTGCTTCTGATTTAATATAAGAGATTATCTCTGATAATCTCGTACCTGGTTCAAGGAAATTAGAAATAATTAAAACTTTTCTTATTT